TCTCGTTAGTAGTGTTCTGTACTCAAGGTTCTGGTACACTTATGACGTCACAGTTACGTCATTCAGGAGCAAACAAGACAATTTTTTTTATGCTCGAGAGATGACAACACCAGCGACACACACACACACACACACACACACACACACACACACACACACACACACACACACACACACACACACACACACAAAGAGAAAATTTCAACTTCAGAAATTGGGTCCCGAAAGGAGTTGTTTATGGGTCACCTCGTGAGTTACTTCTGTAGGCGATGATCGATATCAATCTGGTGAGGCCTGGTGGCTGGTGAGGCCTGGTGGCTGGTGAGGCCTGGTGGCTGGTGAGGCTGGTGGGGCCTGGTGGCTGATGAAGCCTGGTGGCTGATGAAGCCTAGTGGCTGATGAAGCCTGGTGGCTGATGAAGCCTGGTGGGGCCTGGTGGCTGATGAAGCCTAGTGGCTGATATAGACTTGAGGTGCTGTCTAAGAGAGGCTGTTGTACACATGTCTCTCAAGACAACCTGCAGCTGTACAGGTGTCGCCACACACCAGCAGCTGTAGTTAGTTGCTAAAGAGGTTGGTATCAGATAATGCCAGCAGGACCGCGGACTGTACATAAGTAGTTTTGTTCTATTTTGACATTTTCCTTGACAGAACAGCTGCTGTACAGGTATCGTCCAAGAACAGCTGCTGTACAGGTGTCGTACAAGAACAGCTGCTGTACAGGTGTCGTACAAGAACAGCTGCTGTACAGGTGTCCTAGAACAGCTGCTGTACAGGTGTCATCCATGATCAGCTGCTGTAAAAATATCTCCCCAAACCAGTTGCTGCTGTACAAGTGTCACCCTAAGCCTGCTGCTGCATATTATCAAAAAACAGCCGCTGTACAGATGTCACAGAAAGCAAACAAAACAGCGGTAACAGAACGACCTAGGAACAGTCATTGCTGTGCAGGTGTCATCCAATAACAACTGCTGCTGTACAAGTGCCATTCAAAAACAGCTGCTGTATAGGTGTCGTCCCAGAACAGCTGCTGTACAGGTGTCGTACCACTCCCTCTGCTGTACAGGTGTCACCAAGACCAGCTGCTGTACAGGTGTCACCAAGACCAGCTGCTGTACAGGTGTCACCAAGACCAGCTGCTGTACAGGTGGAGATGAGCCACCTAGGTGACCCGCCCTCCGTGGTATAACAGGTGACGCAGCAACACAGCAGCGGGCAGCAGGAGGCAGGGGGAGGGCCCATGCTGTATTAACGTGCTGCTGCTTGTCTGCATGGCCGCTGGCTCCTCCGCTGTTAGGGAAGAATGAACACATTAAAACACTGTAAAACTCACTAGTGAAGAGTTCCCTTGTGTACCTGGGGTGTTATAGTCTACTAACCCCTTGTGTACCTGGGGTGTCTCTCAGCTGAATGAAATCGTCTGGCGTAACCTAAATAAAATATCAAATGTCTTAAAAAAAATAATGTAATTTTGCTAAAACTAATTAAAACTCATTAAAACACAATAAAACGCCGAATAAAAACGACCGCTCGACAGTCGCTCACTATCAAAACTTTACACTACGCCAGAGAACACAACGCCAGCACGAGCAATCAACAGAGCCTGGCGTTTGATTCTATAATAAATGCCGCCCAGGTCAATACTTGTGTGTGTGTGTGAGAGATTAACCTTTACCTTTAACAGATGTACCATGCCAGACACACACACACACACACACACACACACACACACACACACACACACACACACACACACACACACACACACACACACACACACACACACACACACACACACTAACCTTTACCGTTGAACAGATATACCATAACAGACAGACAGACAGACAGACAGACAGGCCCTTACCTTTAAACACATGAACCATTATAGATGCCCGCTTGGTGTTAGATGGGGCACACTGGTAGAGCCCTGAGTGGTCTAGTGCGGCCCTGGCCACAAGGAGTGTGGACACGGTGCGGCCATCCTCCTGCCTTACACTCACCCGCACAGTACGGTCACTCTCGTAGTTAATAACCTGTGTAAAGGATGCGTAGTTTGTGGTCAGGGTGGGTAGTGGTTAGAGGGGTGGGGGATTGGTGGTTGGAGGGGGTGGCTGGTGATTAAAGGGGGTGGGGGTGGTTAGAGGGGTGGGGGGCTGGTGGTTGGAGGTGGTTGGTGGTTGGAGGGGGATGGCTGGTGGTTGGAGGGGTATGGTGGTTGGTGGGGGGGTGGTTAGAGGGGGTGCTGGTGGTTGCGGGGGTGGCTGGTGGTTGGAGGGGATGGCTGGTGGTTAAAGGGGGTGGGGGTGGTTAGAGGGGTGGTTGGTGGTTAGGAGGGTGGTTGGTGGTTAGAGGGGGCAGTTAGGGGGTTAGTTGTTAGGGGTTGGTGGGTAGGGGTTGATGGTTAGGGTAGTGGTTGGTGTTTAGAGGAGGTAATTAAGAGTCGGTGGTTACTAGTAATTAGTCTAGTTAAAAGCCAGTAGTTACCAGTAAATGGTGTGGTTAATGGTCATTAGTTCATAGTAATTGGCAAGTAGGTAACAGCAGACGAGGTTAATGTGGTTAGAATCTAATTAACTACTAATAGCTGTCATGGTTAGTGAGGATAGTGGTTAATTAAATAGTACAGGTAGAGGTGGTTAGTGAGATTTACCTTCTACTCTCCTTTCGTCATTTATCTATTTATTGTGAGTTTCGCTTATTATCGTCTTCGTTGTCTTATTATTAATATTGTTGTTATTTATTTATTTATTTACGTGTTTATTATTTGGTTTCATTTATTTGTTTTTATTAGATTTTCAGTTGTTTATTTTTCCTCCGTGTTTTAGGGAGAGAGAGAGAGAGAGAGAGAGAGAGAGAGAGAGAGAGAGAGAGAGAGAGACTCACTCACCTCGCCCCTGTGGTACCAAAAGATGTACTCTGGCGGTGCAGGACTTGGACTCACAACACACGTCAGGTTAAGTGCTCCTCCTTCGTCGGTATAGAGCTCAGGGGCGTGCAGGATCGTCGCCTTTGGTACTGTAGGTGGAGAGAGAAGGAGAAGGACGAGGTGTTAGTAATCCTTGACCTTTGAGTTGGAGGAAGAGGAGGTGTCTGTTTCGTAATTAGCATATGTCTGTATGTAAGCCATATTGTCTGTATGTCTGTACGATTGTGTATTATTTACTGTCTTTATATATACTGTAATTGATCCTTTCTGTTGTATTATCTATTTCCTTGTTGTATTGTGGTTGAGAGAGAGAGAGAGAGCATGATAAAAGATAATGAAAGAGGAAAGGGACCTTAATGAAACGATAAAAGAAAGAGAGAAACAAATAAAGAAAGAAAGAAAGAAAAGCTTTATACGCTTTAAGTGGGATTCTGAACCTTAATACTGACAAGAAATTGGAGGCTTATGTGCTTTTATATGAGAGAGAGAGAGAGAGAGAGAGAGAGAGAGAAAGAGAGAGAGAAAGAGAGAGAGAGAGAGAGAGACCTGTCGTTCATAAGGTGTGTCTCTCGTCAACCTGTGAACTTTCAGGAGGTGTTGCCTGAAGACACACACTAACATTTACCGCTTATATGCTGTACCAAGAGTAAATACCGGAGACTCTTCCTGAGAGAGAGAAAGAGAGAGAGAGAGAGAGAGAGAGAGAGAGAGAGAGAGAGAGAGGAGGAGTTTCCGTCACATCTCCTCTTCACTGCTAGGACACTAACTCCCACTGTCAACACACACACACACACACACACACACACACAGTACCAGAGAGATTTCTTATGTGTCTTTTCGTTCTAATAACATCAAAACATTCCACAAATATTCTTATACATTATAGTTTGTTTCTTTTCATTCCATAAACACCAGAACAAATGAAAAAATTCACTAATTTACTATATTTACTCTGAATTTATTGTTATTTTTTTCCTAATGCAGATTTTCCTGTTTTCAGCGGTAAAATTTATGTACTGTTTAGGCTCGTCGTAAGTAAGCCTTGACATCAGCTCCTTTCACAGCCTTGGCGAATGTAAATAAACCTTTTCTCAACTCCATCTGATTTTAGCAGGAATGGAGGAAGTTTTAAAATACTCAGTGGTCCGTTTCTGCTAAAATCAGATGGAGTTTGTTTAAATTCGCTTTCCTACCGAGGACGATTATTTGGCAAGATGGCGGAGGTAAACACTAGACGTTCGCTGATGATAGAATTTGCTCGAATTTCATGATATTGGAATATTTGATAATTAAAAATTCAAGGCCTTTTTTTATAGATTTGGATGAGTATGATAATATTGTTTTTTTAGGTAAGACGAGAATAAATTTATGTTTTTATATCCATTCGATTTATAGATAAAAATCTGTCCTAATAAACATTGGAACATTATTATCTTCTGTTCTTCCCCACATACCAAAATTCTCCAGACATAGACAAATACTTTTAAAAACTCCCATAGTCTATTTTCCCTGTTTAAATATCAGTTAAAATCAAATATAGACAAACAGACGTAAATATGAATAGATAAATATATAGACAGATAGATATATAGATCAAAATATAGATAAATAGATAGATAGATAAGTAAATAAACTCCACCTCAACTAGATTTACATCAAAATACAATACGTTCCAACAACTAGCATATCTTTCACCAGGACGAACATCAATCACTTGGTGTGTGTGTGTGTGTGTGTGTGTGTGTGTGTGTGTGTGTGTGTGTGTGTGTGTGTGTGTGTAAGATATTTCCAAATATTATACGAATTAATTGAATTTGTCGTCTAAATTGTGAAAGATATTGGTGATGAAGCGATTTACCCAGGGATTATTTTTGTAGTGGAGATTACGTTAGATTTCTCTATTTTTCTCTCTCTCTCTCTCTCTCTCTCTCTCTCCTTTGTTATTTTCACTCTTTCTCTCCCTCTGTTATTCATTCTCTTTCCCTTTCTATTTTCACCTATCTCTCTTGTTATTCTCTTTATCTCTCTCTCTCTCTCTCTGTTATTCTCTCTCTTTCATTAACTCTTCTCATCATTTAATTTATTTACACATTCAAAGAGAAACACCAAACATATTTATTTTTTAAGTCAATGCAACGAGCTATTTAATTTATGTATCAAAACCCAAATAAACCGTATAATTCCACCCTATTAAACGGAGCCATTAAGTGAGCCATTAAAATCCTTTGTATCTCTCATCTGCAACAAGGTATAAAGGTGGGGTGAGTACCTGCGTTCTAATTAGAGGTTCTTGAATGTAATGACAGGTGTGTGTGTGTGTGTGTGTGTGTGTGTGTGTACTTTCACCATTCTGAGTCATCCTAAACACACAACTAATTACTGGAATATCTACAACACTCAACAATTTCTGAGCACTAAAACACCCTAAAAAAAAACTTGACAGTGACGAAATTATTGCACTAAAACCGTGTCATTTTTTATTGATCTAAAGTTGTATGCTATACGACTGAGCAATTTGGAGATTGTTTATAACCAATGGAGGTTAATGCAGAAACGCTATGATGAAAGACCTAGAGAAAAGTAATGGTGACGGGTAAATTAGTTATATAGAGCGAGACGAGGTTTGATGTTCATGTAATCAAAGGTAAAGAGAGATTAATTTGCATATTTAATAGCCCTTGAGATATAGCCAGGTAACACGTGAAGCCCTCCTCCTGCTCCTGCTGCTCCTGCTCCTGCTACTGTTCCTCACACCGCAGGAGAGAGATTAGGTGAAAGTTTTGAGTGAAATTTTTTATGAATTTCTTGAGTGAAAGTTTTCAGTGAAAGATTTGAATAAATTTGTTTAGGAATTCCTATGTTTCTTTCTTTCTTCCTTCATTCATTTATTCCCTTCTTCCCTTCTTCTCTCATCTCCTCACACCTCCTTCTTACCTGTCCCTTCTCCCTCCCCTCAATTCTTTTTTATTGTATCCCCTTCTCTCCGTTCCCTTTCTCTGCCCTCTTTCTGCCCTCCCTTCTCCCTCCCTTCTCCCTCCTTTCTCCCTTCCTTCTCTCCTCCCCCTCCTTCCCCCTCCCTTCTCCTCCTTCTCCCTCCCTCCTTCTCCCCTCCCTCCCCCTCCCCTCCTTCTCTGCTCCCTCCTCCTCCTTCCTCCCTCCCCCTCCTTCTCCCTCCCTTCTCTCCCTCCCTCCTCTCCCTCCCTCCCTCCCTCCTTCTCCCCCTCCCCCTCCCTCCCCTCCTCCCTCCCTTCTCTCCTCCCCTCCTTCTCCCTCCCTCCTTCCCCCTCCCTCCTCCTCTCCCTCCTTCTCCTCCTTCTCCTCCTTCTCCTCCTTTCTCCCTCCCTCTCCCTCTGTTTCATCTAAGAAGTCCATTACCTGTTCTGTCTAACCATATTACCTTCCTCATACTTCAAGTGAACCCCTCTGGATACATGTTGCCTTTTCCCCTCTGAATCACCCCCCCCCCACCTCTCCCGTCTGGTTCTGCAGTTCCCCTCACTTCCCTTTGACCTGACGTGACCTATCCCCTCTGACCCCCTGTAGTTCTCATATATCACCTGATGGGGGTCTAACCTTTCCCCTCTGACCTCCCGTAGTGTTGTTGTTTCCCTTCTTGACCTCACGTGACCCCTTTGACCACCTATAGGTTTAATTTCTCTCTCTAACCCCAAAAAGTGACCTTAACCATCTCTCACAGTGAATTGTTTTAATTGACCTTACGTGACCTTCCTTGACCTTTCCGCTCTGACGTCATGGGGTTTCTATTTTTTCCCCTTGACCTCTTGTGATCTTTCCCCTCTCACCTTATGTGACCTTTTAGTGCGATCCTATGTGACATTTGCCCTCTGACACCATCCTTCAGTCCCGAAATCAAGGGGAAACCGGGGTATTTTTTCCCTTTCTCTTCATTCCTTCCTTCCTTCCTTCCTTCCTTCATTCCTTCCTTCCTTCCTTCCTTCCCTTCCTACTCCTCTCTATCCTCTGCATCCCAACCCACCCTTCATCTCTTCCCTATTCTATCTCCCTTCCTCCCTTCGTTCCCCATTCTATTTCCCCTTCTCTTTTCCCTTCCCCGTTCCTTCTCTTCCTCCTTCCACTCCCCTCTTCCTGTCTTTCTCCCTACTCTCTCCTATTCCCATTCCCTCTCCTCTTCCCCCCAATTCCTTCTCTTACTCTTACCCCTTTCGTTTTCTTTCCTTGAGTTCTTCTTTAATTTTTTCTCCCTCTCTTCATTTCCCTCCATCTCCCCTTCTCCCCAGCTCTCCTAACTACCAAGATCATTATTCTTCCTTCCCCTTTCCCCTCTCTTTCTCCTTCTCCTCCTCCTACTTTATCCGTCAATCACCTGTTCCTTCCCTCTCTTCAATCTGCTCTTATTCCTTCCATTCCCTATAAACAGACAGACAGACAGACAGACAGACAGATAGACAGACAGACAGATAGACAGATAGACAGACAGACAGACAGACAGATAGACAGTACAGGTATACAAACAATGTCAAATAGTAAGGCAATTCTCCCAAGTCTCTCTCCTATTGGTCGAGTCAAGCATTACGTCATCAATGGCTGGGAGTCGTTCAGTCACACGTCATTAATCATTAAGACTCAGCTGAAGAAAAAAAAATAAACAACATGGAACTGCCCAGATGGTGTAGTGACGTAGTGACCAGCTGTGTAGAGACCAGCTGTGTAGAGACCAGCTGTGTAGAGACCAGCTGTGTAGAGACCAGCTGTGTAGAGACCAGCTGTGAGGCGAACTATCGAACTATCTCTTCACTGAATCTATTATTGCATTAAATACTAAATATTATCATCGAGACAGAGTAAATAATAAAGGAAATCTATATATAAACATTAAACAATTTATTGATGTTAGGAAAGTAATTTGTCAGGTAGTAAAGCGTTGAGTGTGTACGGTGCTTAATTATGTCAGGTGAGTGTGGCCATCATTACCTTCCATTAGTTACCTGTGAGAGTAATTACTTTTAGGGGGTTATTAGTCAACACCTGGTTAGTGAAGAATATATGACCCTCCTCTTCTCCTCCTCTTTGTTTCCTTACTTTTCTCCTCTTCATTTCCCCCCTTCCTCTTTCTCTCCTTTCCTCCCTCTCCTCTCTTCCCTCCCTTCTTTTCTTCCCTCCTCTTCCTCTTTTCTTCCTCTTCATCCCTCCTCTTTCCCCCCACATCTCCATTCTTCCTCTTCCCTTCCCTCCTCCTTCATTTCCTCCACATTTCTCCCCCCTTTCCTCCTACCTTTCTTCTTTATCCTCCTCCTTACCCCCTCCTCCTCCTTACCCCCTCTCCCCCTCCTCCCCTCCCTCCTCCCTACCCCCTCCCCCTCTCCTCCTCTTCTCCCCTCCCTCCTCCCTAATCCTCTCTCCTCCTCCCTACCCCCTTCTCCCTCCCTCCCCTCCTCCTCCTTACCCCCTCTTCTCCTCTTCCCCCTCCTCCCCTGGGACGTAGCTCTATGTTTGTCAAGTAAATAACCTTTTGCCTACGCCATTACCACCACATCAAATATCCTCGACCTAAAATTTGGGGTTTTACCTAAAATATTTTAAGTCAGAGCTGCGGTAAATCCCCAAAAAGACGCCCAATGAATAATTAAGTTAATAAATATAGAACAGCCACTTTCAGCCTCTGATGTTTGGGCCATTTTAGACGGAACAAACTCTCCTACGGTGATTATTTTTTGTTGTAAGATAATATGTGAATACACTTAACAAATTGACTTAAGAGGAATAATTGTCGTAAGTGAAAAAAACAAAAGAATAAACTTAACGAATTGACTTTAGATAAAATACAATAATTACTTTCAAAATATTACCTTCAAATGTTATCTTCAAATATTACCTTCAAAACTCTACCTTAATAATTGTTTACATGAATCCAATTAGGACACACAAAAAATAGTTTCGTTCTTTCATCTTTATGTACGAGAAATATTTTAACGAACGATATTTTACGAATCAGGAATCTGGATGTTTTTTTAAGTGAATATTGTTTGTTTGTTTGTTTGTTTGTTTGTTTGTTTGTTTGTTTGTTTTAAGTGGTTCATCTCCAGAGTCCTGAAGTAGAGTTAAGTGTTGTTATCTACACTACAACAACAACAACTTTTGATGACTGGAAATTATAAAGTTTCTTGTATGGTTGAGACAAGTACTCAACCTCCTTGTATATATGTATGTATGTATGTATGTATGTATGTATGTATGTATGTATGTATGTATGTGTATGTATGTATGTATGTATGTATGTATGTATGAATGTATGTATGTATGTTTGTATGTATGTATGTATGTATGTATGAATGTCAGTCAGTTAACCAAATCACCTGTTCGTGTAATAGTCACTGGGATTAATATCGAGTTTCATTTGTAACTTTTTTTTTAAATAATTTCTGTAACCCCAAAAAACTTAGCTAACTCGTTTTACCAAATATGAATAAGTTACTATTAATTTACACTCAAAATATACGGCTCACAATATTTTCGTGGGATGGAGTGCTTCTTCCCTGAGAGAAGGAGGACGTGCGTCTCTTAGAACATATGCAGCAGCAGCCATAAGCGGCCGACGGCCATTCGTGTCTGCGGACATCAGGCAGAGCCTCCAAATATTTGCGAGGATTCAGTCATTTACGACTCGACAATCGTCGTCGGGACGGGACACACACGGTGCCCGGCTTTGATTTGTTGTAGTTGAATGTGGGTGCGCCAAGTCCGTAGACTTGCTAGTGACATTTTTACTAATAATTTCTGGTACAGGTATAAAAAAAAATTTCTACATTAAAAATATTTCCAACATATTTCTTGTAAAAAATTTATTCGACAGTCAAAATATTCTCCTTATATATCCTTTAAAGATTTATTCTACATTGAAAAAATCCTAATATTCTCTAACTTTTTTATTTGGTCTATATTTGTCTAAATTTGGTCTACACTTGTCGAATTTAGCCTACACTTGTTCAATCTAGCCTACACTTGTCAATCTAGCCTACACTTGTTCAATCTAGCCTACACTTGTTCAATCTAGCCTACACTTGCTAATCTAGCCTACACTTGTCTAATCTAGCCTACACTTATTAAACCCTCCCACCACTCCCGTATTCAACATTAAAAATTTTCCTTGGCTAAGTTTTAATCAATTTTGGGCCCGGCTGCTGGTAGGTAGAGTAATGAATGAACTTATTTCGAGTGGCCGCCCCGAGTCCCTCTTGTGATGCAAATTCTGATGCAAGTTAAGGCAAGTTGACTCATCTTCCTCCTCACTCTACTAATGAATATTACTAATGGGGAATACATGTCGCTAATGAGAGGAATATGTCGTTATTGGGAGAAATATATCGTTAATGGGAGAAATATATCGTTATTGGAGGAAATATATCGTTATTGGAGGAAATATATCGTTATTGGAGGAAATATATCGTTATTGCGGGAAATATATCGCTAATGAGATAAATATATATCGCTAATCAGGAAAAAATATATAGTTATTGGGGAGTATATAATGCCAGTAAGAGAGAGAGAGAGAGAGAGAGAGAGAGAGAGAGAGATTACAAAATTTCAGCGAATCTTTTAAACCACGTAAACTACAACACCTAAATTAATCATGATATAAAAAAAAACACATCCACACCTCCGTTAAGAAGAAGAAAAAAAAATCTCTCCCCAAATTAATCAAATTAGAAACTGTGGACTTGAAGGGAGGAAGGAACAGAAAGAGGAGGAGAGGAAGGGAGGGGAAGAGGAGTAGAGGAAGACCTGGGGGAGGAGAAGGAGGAGAAGAGGGAGGCGTTGGGGAGGAGGAGGAGGCGGAAAAGAGGGAAGAGGTCGATGCTGTTAGTTAATGGTAATTAGTGTTAGTTAATGGTAGTTAGTGTTGGTGGCAATAGATGGCGTTGGGCTACATTTACTGTGTTGGACCTGACCAGTTGATATATAAAACACTTGTTGTTATTAATATACAACACAAGAGTAATTACCATAAGCTCTGGTCTGTGTATGTACCTTTTTTTTAATGCTCATTTCCCGCATCGGAGCATTTAACTGTACACTGATATCTGACCCCGCAATATATTATTCATTATTCACGTCAGAGTACAAACACACATACCTCACACTGGAGCATATTACACATTATTCACACTGGAGCATATTACACATTATGCACACTGGAGCATATTGCATTTTTTTCACACTGGAGCATATTACACATTATTCACACTGGAGCATATTACGCATTATTCACACTGGAGCATATTGCATATTATTCACACTGGAGCATATTACACATTATTCACACTGGAGCATATTGCATATTATTCACACTGGAGCATATTACACATTATTCACACTGGAGCATATTGTATATTATTCACACTGGAGCATATTACACAGTATTCACACTGGAGCATAATACACATTATTCACACTGGAGCATATTACACATTATTCACACTGGAGCATATTACACATTATTCACACTGGAGCATATTACACATTATTCACACTGGAGCATATTACATTATTCACACTGGAGCATATTGCATATTATTACAGACATATTACACATTATTCACACTGGAATTGTATATTATTCACACTGAGCTATTACACAGTATTCACACTGGCATAATACCATTATTCACACGGAGCATATTACTTATTCACACTGGAGCATATTACATTATTCACACTGGAGCATATTACATTATTCACACTGGAGCATAGGATTTTTCTTACGCCAGAGCATATATACAGTCTACCTACGACCTCCAGGGTGATGAGATAAGCTCGTATGGGTGGTTGATACTTGACACACTCGTAGAGACCTGAATCCTTGCAGTGGGGTATGCCTTCATAGCGTCCACTCGTTCGTGCCCTCCCTGTGTAGCGCCGAAACCTGTGGTGCTGGTGTGGTGAAAGGGCCCACTGTCAGGATGTTTGTGTCCTTATGGCGGATCCAGGACACCTGCAGGGGTGAACAGAGAGGAGGTTAATGAAGAGATTAAGATTACGTGGAGAGAGGTCAGGTCAGGTCAGGTCATATGGTCCCAAGTCTCATTCAGCCCTATTCCTTTGGGCTAGATTGGGGGCCCAGTAGGACAAGAGCCTATGAGGACTGGGGTCTATTCATCAGTCACCACACACACACGCGGATGATAGGAACTACCTCTGTGACCTGCAACATTTGAGTGCTGGAGGTGTTGTGGAGGTAGAAGTTTAGCCCTTGTGATGGTTTAACCCTGAGAATAATGATTTAACAACAAGATGTTTTAATTTACGTAAGGATGTTTGTTTGAACCGTTTAGGGCAATGGTTTAACGTTTTACGGCTCATGTTTTAAGATAATAATGGTTTAATATGGTAAGGAGATGGTTTAGCCCTTTTGAGCATACTTGTTTAACTCCTTGGTGGGAGTTTAAACCATCGTACTCAAAGGGCAGATTCTTAGAAAGTGTGAAAATAAGTGATGATAAAGTTTACAAAGTTGAGATGATAATAATTCTCTCTCTCTGCTCTCTCTCTCTCTCCAACTTGCTCTATTTCTCTCTCCTCTCTCTCTCTCAATCATCATCATCATCATCATCATCATCATCATCATCATCATCTCTCAATCACCCACCACCACCACACACCACCACCATCCATAATCCATACTCCACCACCACCATCACCATCATCACCACCATCACCATAATCATCATCACTACCATCAGCCCTTCCCAATCTTACGCAAACTCTACTGTATCTATCCATCCACGTGCTGGTGTATTTTACAGGTGTTTTCCTACCCGTGGGATCTAGTGCAGGCCTTCTCGTCCACGGAGATGTGACACGGACGGGGAAGAGAGAGAAGTGAAAGGGGAAAGTGGAGAGAGAGAGAGAGAGAGAGATCACAGCCACAAAGAACTTCTCGACCATAAGTTTGGGACACATTATCTAATTAATAAAATATTTCTCACGGAATATCACAAAATAAGAGAGGTAATAGTATAGGAGGAATATTATTGTAGAAATATTACGGTGTTTTGGATATTTATTTTTCTGTTTTTCTATTTTCTTTATTCTTTTCAATTTCCTTCTCGGTTTTTTCTCTCTTTCTCCTCTCGAAATCTCTTATTCATCTTCCTATCGATCTCTGTGCTTGTGTCTGTGTTCCTTCTTTGTTCTCTCTCTCCCCTCTTTCTATCACTCTCTGTCTCTTCTTTTGACTTCCCTTTTTTTTATCCCTCACTTTTCTCTCTCTTTATCTCTCCTTTTCCTCCTTTCTCCTCCTTTCCTCTCTTTGCCTCTTTCTATTTATTCTTCTCTTTCCCTTTTTTTGTATTTAGCTTTTTCTGTTTCTTCTCTGTCTCGTCTATCGGCCTGTCCTCCTGTCTGTCTGTCTCCACTCATTCACCCACCGGTCAGCGTCTCTCTCTCTCTCTCTCTCTCTCTCTCTCTCTCTCATTAACATATACTGTACATCATCATATCCCCAACACGATTCACCCAATGTGTGTAATCAAATGTATTAATATTAACTAAGGCTCAACCTCACTCAGATGCTGTGGTGTGGTGTGGTGTGGTGTGGTGGTGGTGTGGTGTAGTGTGGTAGAATAGTGTTGATGTGGTTTGTCTTTAAAAATGTGTTTTTTTGTATGTGTGTGTGTATGTATATAAACATCGCATATGCATATAAATACATATAGAGTATCATTATACACACACACACACACATGTCGTCAAAGTTATCATTATCAACGCTACAGGTATTACAGTTAATTAGCACAGGTGAGTCGTCTCCTCCTGTGACTAAATCCATAATGCGTGTTGTAAAAGTTGCGTCACTGCTGGCGAAAAAGCATCGATCGTTCGTCTGGCTTAGTCTCCGTGAAGATTATTGTTTGTGGAGAGAGAGAGGACAGAGACGCCACTAACAATCTCAGCTTATAACTTACTGTACTGGAACAATTAACACAGTGATCTCGGGACTTCACACTGGTAAGGTCATATTGGTAAGGTCACAGAGGCGTCAGGTCATATAGTAGGTGTCAGGTCACAGAAGTCAAGTCCACAGGTGTCAGGTCACGGAGATGTTAGGTCACACAGGTTTCAGGTCGCGGAAACATCAGGTCATACAGGTATCAGGTCATGGATATGCCAGGTCACACAGTGTCAGGTCACACTGGTTTCCAGGTCACACAGGTGTTAGGTCACAGTGAGTTACAGGTCCGCCAGGCCTCAGGTACGCCAGGGATCAGGGTGTTGACTCATGCCATGCTGCCTCACTCAGACACCCTCTCTTCCTCCTCTCACTCTAAGACCTTCCTCTCCTCCTCTCACTCTAAGACCTTCCTCTCTCCTCTCCTCTAGATCTTCCCTCTTCCCTCCCCTCTCTTCCTCCTCTCTAAGACCTTCCCTCTCCCTCTCTCACTCTAAGACCTTCCCTCTCTTCCTCCTCTCACTCTAAGATCTTCCTCTCTTCCTCTTCCTAACCTTCCTCTCCTTCCACTCTAAAACCTTCCCTCTCTTCCTCCTCTCCTCTAAGATCTTCCCTCTCATCCTCCTCTCCTCTAAGATCTTCCCTCTCATCCTCCTCTCCTCCAAGATCTTCCCTCTCATCCTCTCCACTCAAGATCTCCCCCTCTTCCTCCTCTCACTCTAAGATCTCCCCCCTCTTCCTCCTCCACTCCTAAGATCCCCCTCTTCCTCCTCTCCTCTAAGATCTCCCCCTCTTCCTCCTCTCACTCTAAGATCTCCCCTCTCTCTCTTAAAACAGCCATCCTGATGGTCATCCCAAACTGCATCCTAAACAATCCTATAGGAACCATTACTTGCCTGTTGCTCTACCTGTATACCTGCACTTCTGCACCTTCTACTGTGCCTTTTACTTACCTGTGCCTGTACTTGCACCTGTACCTGCCTGTACTTGCACCTGTGCCACTGTACCTGTACCTGCACTACCTGCACCTGTACTTGCACCTGTACCTGCACCTGTACTCTGCACCTGTACCTGCACCACCTGTACTTGCACCTGTACCTGCCTGCACCTGTCCTGTACTTGCACCTGTACCACTTGCCCACCTGTACCTGTACTTACCTGCACCTGTACTTGCACCTGCCCCACTGTACTCACCTGTACCTGTGCCTTGCACCTGTACCTGTACTTGCACCTGCACCTGTGCACTTGTACCTGTACCTGTCTTGCACCTGTACCTGTGCTACCTGTACCTGTACTTGCACCTGTACTTGCACCTGTACCTGTACTTGCCTGTACCTGTACTTGCACCTACCTACCTGTACTTGCATCTGTACCTGTACTTGCCTGTATGTACTTGCACCTGTACTTGCACCAGTACTACTCACTGCACTCTGCACCTTACCTGCCTGTGCTTGCACCTGTGCCTGTGCTTGCACCTGTGCCTGTACTTGCACCTGTACTTGCACCTGTGCACTTGCACCTGTGCTTGCACCTGTGCCCTGTACCTGCACCCAGCCCTTGCACCTGTACCTGTACTTGCACCTGTACCTGTACTTGCACCTGTACCTGTACTTGCACCTGTACCTGCACTTGCACCAGTACCTGCACCTGTACTTGCACCTGTACGGTTGATTCTGGAGAAACTTAGTTTAATTTATAATTGAACTGAATTTGCATATCCACTTCTAAGAGCCAGCAATTACTATGTGCTGCAACAGTGTGTGTGTGTGTGTGTATATGAGAGAGAGAGAGAGAGAGTCTTCATCTGGCTCTGACGTGTGAGGTTTGTTTATACAGTAGACACAAAAGAATGCAACGCCCCCTGAACCAGGCAGCTGATTGCCATACATTCATACACACAAGCTCATGCATACAAGCCTTAATGTAGACATACCTGTACGTACTTTGCATATATAAATGGAAATATACCTGTGTATGTATAGATAAACATAGTATACATACCTGCACATGTGTACTGATATACTATATATACACTAGAGTGCATAGAAACACACAACACAACAACAACACACACACACACACACACACACACCACACCAATACACAACACAACCTGACACAGCACAACACTACACAGCCACTACACAACACCAGCACAACACACCACACCACTACGCAACACACACACACAACCTTACAGCACAGCATAACACAACACACCACACCACACCATTACGCAACACAACGCTACACAACACAACAACAACACACACACCGCACACCACACACCACTGCACCCAACCACAACACAACGCTATACATACAGCATAACACAACACAACACTACACAACACAACAACAACACACACACACACCACACCAATACACACCACACCACTACACCCAACACTACACAACACAACAACAACACACACACACACACCACACCAATACACACCACACCACTACGCAACACTACACAACACAACACACCACTACACAACACAACACAACACACCACACCACACCACACCACTACACAACACAACACAACACTACACAACACAACACAACACACCACAACACAACACAACACACCACTACACAACACAACACAACACACCA